CAGCTGATTTGCTACGGCCTTTTTATCAACTGTGACCACTAGGATTCTGTTTTCTGTCTGTATTACACTTGAAGTCGCATCTATTAGAAAGAAAATGCCTCTCAGTGGACCATGATAGCTTTTAGAGCGAATCTCTCCTTCAAAATCCTCAGATGGATGAGACAGATCGGTTTCAGAGTGACGGGCAAAACTGATTTAATTTGGGAGGCAGTTGTGCCATTTTTCTACACTGAAATATATAATGTTTTACTTTATACTTATGTAAATGCATACATTTGTTTTTTGGCTCAAGTTTCATGTTCTGTACCTGGCTGCTCGCCCCAACAATGGGTAAAGTTCTCACTCTTTGGTGACTCAGTCTGTATGTCTCAGTAATGAAGAATCTCTTTAACCAACATCTGCATTTAATTTCACTCTGTACATGAACATACATACTTGATACAAATGGCTGAATAGCATGAATATATGTAGGCTGCTGGGCACAACAATAATTAACCACTTTGGAATGACAAGAGGTTGCTGTTGATTAATGTCCAACAACCCTCATCCAAGGACTCTTTAGAAAGAGCTCCTATTATTAGAACACTTCAGCATGATGCAGGAGATGTGATCTGCATCCCCCAAGCAAAGGAAGGAATTGAACTTCAGTTTCATACAGCCAGATGAATGCTTCAGCAATTCCTTGGTTTTAAAAATTGTTTAAAACCCTGCCTTGAAAACAAGACGCTAGAATGCGTATCAAAAATGAGCAAAGACACATCTCTGTAGCTCTGAACATCAGCTAGCTTTACAGCAGACCAGGGCTCTATTACTTCCTATTGACTACAAAAGATTTCCCGCTCAAGAGTGGCAGATTGGGCTTTTCAGCATTACCTATACTTAAGGAACTTAAGATGGGATTCCAGATGCCCCTTAAACCTTACCTATTGCAATATCAGCTTTTAGGTGCTTACCTCCCTCTTTTGATCTAGCTCAAAACATTTCCTTTTGCCTAAATCTCATTTCTAGAGAAGAGGATATTTAACTGCCAAGGCATTCATTCGACCACTTATTTTCATCAACTGATACATGAACTACACAAGATTATCTCCCTTTCCGACTCTGCTCACAAGAGAAAGCAAACTAAAGTAGGGAGAAATCGGTGCTGCAGGGGACTGTAAGTACTCCTGTAATGTGTGTGGCAATCTGACACAGCAATGAAACAAGACCCTTTGTCATCAAAAGCCTAAGCTGTGAGTTCCCCACCACTGGCAAGCCCTGTTGTTACAGCATCTCTATCATGCGCATCCCAGAATAGCATAATGTGAATGCTTGCAGAATTAGTGGGTCTTTTGTGGGTTATTTTTTTAAGGCAGAAGAATGCAAAACTAGTAACTGAAAAATTTGGGAATGAGGAAGTATTACATTGTCTCTGTTACCTGTTACTCCCCTTCTCTCTGCTGTCAGTGATTGTTTCACCTTGACTACCCACCATAATCGCACAGTGAGTTCTAACTGGTTATGCCTGTGTAATGCTGCTGGTGACCCCAAAATTTACATGTGACTGGCAGCATTATATGAAGCCTGGGAGATCTTGTAATTGTACCTTAAGATCTAATCTGGCTTGCAAAACCTGTGGCCACACACACACCCCCCACACCCCCCAACACTGTTTGGTCCTGAAGGGTTTGTGGTGAAAATCCAATTAAAAAAATTTAAATAGACTTCAGCTGATGAAGGAAGAAGTGAAATATTATAAAGGAAGAAGCTCTGTTATGTTACTTTTACTGTCAGTTTTCCAAGCTAGTTTTTCTATTACGAGTTAATAGCTGTTTTCTTCCATACACTTGTCTGTCTGCCTTCCTTCCTTCCTTCCTTTCATTCTTCATTGTCCTTCCTAATCATGCTAAAACTGGCTACGTTTTCCAAATCATTTACCCATATTGATTTCACCCAGGTCTATGTTACAGAACTCACGCCAGTGTAATTAGAACCATATCTACATAATGAGTGGCAGCACCTAATGTAACTGCATTTAATTAAGACGGTATGGGTTATTTGCTAAGCACTTTGTCAATTCACCTCAGCTTGTCTACGCGAGAGACTCACTCTGCAGAAACTACTTCAGTTTTTAAATGAGTTAGGGTTACATGGGAAAATCATGTATTTGGTTTAGTCTAACAGAGAGAGGGAGGAACTTCTGGTTTTTTCAGCTGTGCTATTTGCTGTGTTAAAAATGGGAAACGCTCCATGTTTACAGTATACGTTACTAGTTCATTCAGTATGGAGCTACGTTAACATCTGTGTTATACGGAACTTGTGGTCTGGTTGGGATGCTTAATAGAAACCTTATTAAAAATTAATTTGGAGAACCGCGTTCAAACTTGCTGTAGGGCTCCTGGTTCTTTGTTCAGCATTTTTGCACAGGAAGAACATGAATGCGATAGGAGAAAAGATTTAGACAACAAAATCAAATTGTAGAAGTATAGAAGAAAAAAAGCAGTTTAACACCTTTTCTCTCTCCGAATAATTTCAACCCGCTTCCTACTAGCAAAGAGAAAGTGTTTGGAAAGTTGCTGGAGGTCAGAAACAGCAGCTGTAACCGCAGGTGGCAGTAAGTGGAAGGACAGGTAACTTTGTCCAGCTGCACCGCCTCAGAAGCAAGGCAATGCTTTATTCCTCACTTGGGTTTAGGACCTCATCTACCACAGCCTGTTAACAGTAACGTATCTGTCATCTGGGCCGAACTCAGAAGTCAGCCCTTCAGCTGACCGAGGGGGAAGCCGAGAGCCAGCTTTCCGCCCCGGCCCCCCCGCGTGCCTTGCCAAGCACGTTCGCAGCGGAGCGTTACGGAAACGAAGACCCGCACAGAAAATGGAGACTCCCGTTCCGGTACTCCCTTGCAGTACAACGTGCTGCGAGCCCACCGCCCGAGGCCAGCTTTCACGGCTGCGGGCCGGCTACGAAACCGGGGCTGGGGCTTCGGCTGGGAAGGACGACGTACTCCAGGAGGCGGG